TAAATAACAAAATTAGAGGGATTTACTGGAACATATTCCTATTAGAGTTCCGCAGCTTTTCAGTTTCCTGATGTTTTCTTTAGGCCCAAAGTGCCCCTGTGAAGAGTCTCTACCTCTTATTTTAAGTAGAAAAAGAGAAAATGCCTTTTTTCTTTTTGACAGCACAAATAAACAGGGAACTGCTTGTTCTTTCATGTTTTAGTTGCACCTTTAGTGCACAATCCTATTTCCAGCATAGCCTTTGAGCATCAGATTTGAGCATCACCCCTTTCCTGTGTTTGTCTGTTTCCTGCTTCCAGGGGCTCTGTTAATTAGATAATTTTTTTACAAGAACCAAAGGTAAAGTTGTAATCTTAAAACTGCCTGTATTAGTTTTCTACAGGAAATGAAACCTTTTACATTCTGCCTGTATTAAGCACTTAAATGTACAGAAGGCACTTTTTTACAGTTCTTATTTGCAGTACACAATTAGAAAAATGGAGTTGTTAACTCTAAAGGCCAAATTCAGCTCATCTCACCATATTTTCCCATGAACATCACTTCTGTAAAATGCTAATCAGTTGGCCCTTATTTTTTTTCAATTCAGCACAAATGTTTATTTGCACTACAGAATTAGGGTCATTAGATGTTTCTGTCTCCTGAGCCATGAATCATGAATCCAGTACCAGAAAAAAAAGGGAGAGGGAGAGAAATCAGGTGTAGACAAAGGTGTACGTAAAAGTTTATAATGATTTGCCAACTTAAATGGCGCTTTTTTCCTTTTCTATGGTTACATAATTTATTTTTACTGTGAACAGTATTGAATTTTAAAATAGTTTTGCCAGTGTTTGGATTAACAGAGCAAAGGTAAAGCAATGAAAGCGTAACACCAAAAGGTGAAATACCAAACACCAGAAACATAGCAGTGTACCGTGTAGGGGACACAGAGATAGATGCTAAAAAGCCTTTTGTCACCAGCTTTTAAAGCAGTGTCAACTTTGTGAATATGTTTACTCCTTCTGCCAAAGTTTCTAGGTCAAATGGACCCCGACCCTCCTCTGCAACAGATGTACAAAAGGAAGAATGAGACTTTGTAAACAAAAACAAAAAACACAAACAAAAAACTATCATGAACTAACCAGCTGTACCAAGAGGACCAAAATGCTTCAGTAATTCAATTGAAGACTTTGCTACTTTTATTTTTTTGTTCATATGTGAGTGACATAATGAAGTAGTTTTTTCTAAATGATAAAAATATAAACTTTTGAGGTCAAAGTAGTCTTGGGTGAATTTTACATTTTATGACACAGATTTCAAGTTGACATTTTTAACTGATAATGTGTTGACCACAGGTGGGTTTTTTTCCTAGACTTAAGAATATGTTCATATACTTTTAATGTAAATGTGTTTCTATTTATTTGAAACGAAACAAATGCCCAGGAAAAAATCACTATGGCTTGTTCTCCTAGTTAGCATTCATGCCTACTGAAATGAAATGTGAATCTGGCAAGATTGAGGGCCTGAGGAGCAAGAGGAAGGGTGGATGCACACTGGGAGAGTGCCCATCTTGTATGGAATGCAAAGGTCCACTGTCTGTGTTGGGGAAAAAGCTGAAAGAAAACACCTTCCTTTGTTTAAGAGCTTAAGAAGGATCCAGCCCCTTGCCAGACAGGTGAGAAAACCCACACAGCTGTGGCAGAGCATGGAGTCAGGCATTCCTGTTCCTGTCATTCACACTCGGCTTGTCTCACGCCTGTGTCTGCTGGGAGGGTGAGATGAGCTTCCTCGGTGCTCGCTTTTGGCAGAGTAAAGGAAAAGTAAGGATTTGAATTTTTATTGCAGTTTTTAGCCCTGTTCTGCTGGACTGTTGAAAATCTACTGGCAGATTTCAGTTCTTTAATTACTAAAAAAAAATTGGTATATTAAGTTTATTTTGCCTTACTAAAATTGAGTATTTTTTCCTTGAACGTTAGCAATCTTCCAAAGTTTACAACTAAAAAGCCCCCTTTTCTCTCAACTCTGTAGTTTCTACAGTAGAATGACAGAGAACCTGAAACCTTGGTTTTCTCCTCAGAAATAGCACCAAATAACATTTTAATTGGTTTTTCTCAGCATTTTTGCTTTTAGAAGTTGCAGAATAGCAATAACCACCTTACTTAAAACACTGCAAATAAGAGGCGAGCGCAATTTTTAAAATTTTCAGTGGTGCCTGTTCCAAAATTAATAGTAATCCCAAACTTTGGGGTTTTTAATGTAGAAGGATGGCATTGAAAACAAACATATGGGAAATAGCTGCCACCTGTCTAACAGCAGAATCAGCATTTTAATCTTATTTTAAGCAGAAATGTAGGCAGGCTCCTTGGCAGGATTAGTTGTAAGTCTCACCCTGAAATACAGCAAATGATGCTATCCTACATGACAGTGCTTCATTAAGAGAAAACCAGCCCTCTTTATAAAAAGTTGTTGTATTATTTGAAGCAGCCATTTAAAAAGTTTCAGTATTTTCACCTGCTGCCCATACAGTTACCAAAACTTTTTCTAATTGCGATACCTCCTAACGCTGCTAATTGTGTGGTACAACAGCTGCTGCCTCTCAGTGCATCCCAGAAGCACAGGTGATTTATTTCTGAGTCACGCTGGTCCTTCCAGGAGCCAAATCCAACCTTTAGCCATGAAACCCCACAATGCTGCCAGGATGCAGCATTCCAAAAAGCACAGGATCATAAGCTGTGCTTACCTCCAGGGCACTGCACAGGTCGTGTTTTGAGGGCGCTGGGATTACGAGGAAAACTGCCACGAGTGAGACACTCGGAAGTGCTCAGTGTTGGCCTCTCCCACATCTCTTGTGAGTTACCAGAATCCCTTTTTTTTTGTATGCTAGCACTGTAATTTATCACATGTAGGAAGCAGTGTGTAGTGTAGGGCAGGTGTATAAGCATGCGAGTAATGTTACTCTTGTGAATAATCTCCTTGCCTTTCTGTGGACTCCTTACAAGAGTAATCATACAGAATCGTTGCACTTAACCCTGGATCCTGCAACTTACAGCAGGTGGACAGCTTCTGTGTCTGCACCCAGCAGAGGGCACGTGGGGAGGGACAGCTCCCTGCCCAGGTGTCTTGGCAGGATCGCTTCATCCTGTATTTTAACCACAGCTGCAGGTGGAATCCAGAGCAGGACGGGCTCCCAAGTCTCTCTCATAAATACTGAGTTACAACCCTCCGGACTGCCTGAAATAGCTGTGAAATAGCTCAGGGGATTTCTGTTCATCGCTACTAAAAGGGCACCATAATGTGTTTGGTACTTTTATGCAGTCAGCAACTGCCAGGTTATTGAATTGGAACAAACACATGAAATGAATTGTTTATCCATTGTACTGTTGAGAAACTTGGTTATGTATTTGAGGATGATTTAAAAAAAAAATTGTGATTTTTATTCTTAGTCATGTAAGAAATATTAGAGTGCCTTTTTATATTTGTGTATAATGGAAATGTTTTGTGAAACTTGTCTTTTTTTTTTCATTTGAGTGTTATAAAAGCAATATATTACCGGTAAATTTTCATTTCAGACCTTCTTTGAATGTATAAAGTGTTTCTTCTTTTCATATGTTCTACCTGCATTGAAATGAAAATTAATATGCTAAATTTCTATAGGAATAATGTATAATTTTCGCAGTGCTGAAAATGCTTTCTTATTACACAAAAAGTAAACTTAGGTCAGTGTTATAGGAAAGGGCGTTTCAAACTAGTGACAATCTTGAGTGTGTGTATAAAATGTAATTTTATGCATTTCGTATGCAGTGATCTACATATTAAAGCCAATATCTTATGTTTTTTAGGTTTTGTCTTATATTTTATGCTTTAGCATGTGCAATATATCTTTACAAACCATGGTGATACGCATCTGGTGCCAGTGTTATATTTTGCATAACATTTGTAATAAACTATATAAAGCATTGTTTGATGGTTTCGGTGGGGTTTTGTCAGTATTGTTTGCTTTTGTAAATTGAAGTTTAAGGACTTGGGTAAATGTCACATATGAAATGAGGAAAAAAAACTTAATTCATTGAATGACTTGGAATTCAACCCGAATCTTCTCAAGCACAGTTTAGTAACTTTTTAAACTACTGAATGCTGTATTAATGTAATAAAGAACCCTAACTGTAAACTACTCTTGCAATGCATTCAGATGGTTATTTTTACAAATAAAAATGGTACAAATACAGTGGAAAACTGAGTAAATTTTGTTTCTTTTGGGGGAGCCGGGGCGGCTTAAGTATTTTGCAGTGAAGATGAAAATACAAGTATTTCGTACTTCCCTCATAAATACCCTTTGCCCTAGAAAGCTGATTTTGCTTTCTCTGTAGATTCGCGGAAGGTGGGGGAGCAAAATAAACCACCACAGTAATTTTTTTGTTTGTTTGGGTTTTTTTTGTTTGTTTGGTTTTTTTTTTGGTGAGCCCCACCCGCCGTGCTGGCTGTGCCCTGCAGCCGGCTGGGGCAGCAGCCCCACAGGGACTAAAATGCAGCGCTGAGCGTAAAGACAGCGGTGGTAAGGTGTTAGAAGTACCCGAATTAAAGCAAACAAACACAACCCACAAAAAAGGAAAAACAAACAAACAAAACCAAATCCCCACCAGCGCTTTTTAGGTGGTGAGTGCCTGCAGCTTTATGGGCGTTTATCACTGAACCGCTCCCCCCAGGGCAGGGTCCGTGCCCGGCGGGGTGTGCGGGTCTATTTTCGGCCAGGTGTGGGGCCGGCTGGCTCTGGCGGGGCTCGATGTGCCCTCGGGCCCGCCCGAGCGCCGCGGGGCCGAGCCCCCTCACGGCCCCGGCGCTGCGCCCTCCCCATCATGGCGGACACGCCTCCCCCGCCAGCCGCGACATGGCGGGCGGGCCCCTCGGCCCGGCGGCCGCCTGACCTCCCCAACATGGCGGCCGCCCCCTGGCGCCGGCGGCGGCCAGGTTGAGGCGCCGGCCCGGCCGCCCTCCCGCTCC